TGGATGGGGGTGTGCTCTTGAGGGAGAGGTTGTTGTCCTGGCACCACACCACCTTTGGAGCCTTTCATGGACACGCAGTCGTTGGTCGAACAGGGAGTACAGGAGGGGATTAAGCACACACCCCTGTAGGGCCTCTGTGTTGAGGGTCAGCGTGGCATCGGTGATGTTGCCTACCCTCACCACCAGGAGTCGGCCCGTCAGGAAGTCCAGGATCCAGTTGCAGAGGGAGGTGTTCGGTCCCAGGGTCCCAAGCTTGGTGACGAGCTTGGAGGGGACTATGGTGATGAACGCTGAGCTGTAATCAATGAAAAGCATTTTTACTAGAGGAGGCTGGTGGGAGGAGCTATAGGAGGATGGGCTCATTGTAATGGCTGGAATGGAATTAATGGAACAGTATCAAACACATCAAACATATGGAAACCATGTTTGACTCCGTTCCATTAATTCCATTCCAGCCATTATAATGAGCCCGTCCTCCTATAGCTCCTCCCACCAGCCTCCTCTGATTTTCACATAGGTATTCCTCTTATCTAGGTGGGTGAGGGCAGTATGGAGTGCAATTGAGATTGCATTGTCTATAGATCTGTTGGGGAGGTATGCAAATTGGAGTGGGTATAGAGCAGTGGTCACCAGACGGTCGATCGCGATCGACTGGTCGATCTTCAAGGCATTCCTAGTCGATCACCAAACATTTCTGTAGAAAAGCCAATAATAAAGGCTTGCACTCCTTTTTTTTGTGTGTGCACTTGATTCTGAAGCCCTGCGCAACGGGTAATCAAAGTGTTCCCATTTTGAACCATTTCATTTGTCTGAAAAGACAATCCCCAGGTGGTGACGGGAGATCATTGGCTAACGCGATGAACTCACTACTGTGCTCACTACTGTACTGTGCTGGCCAATCGGATAGCTCACATCACCACGCCTACAGAGCTTCGATGACCCCGGCCACAGCGAAGTTTGATACTAGCCTACGTAAGATTTTATAGCTTTTAAAACCATGAGCACAGAGAGACTGTCAATTAATGTTTGTTTTTATTCAACACTATTACAAAACATAAAACGCGCTTCTCCCTACTTCCACTCGCGCTGCAGCTGCAATTAATGAGTAGCCAAGTGTTTCGATAGCTCTGCGTTTTTATTATTATTAGCAGCTCGTCGTGTCTGTTTTAATATCGAGGAATATTTCACTTTCTCAGGTCATAGGAACAACATGAATTTGTGCATGAGGCAGATGTGGTGCAACGCGAGTTTCACCATCAGGTGGAAGACTGTCCCCTCTCTCTGAAAGGAAGGAGAGATTTGACCTTGTTTTTTTACGAGTTCCCAGTTGTCTTGAAAGCACCATGACCATCAGATGCATGTACCATCAGTCCAGTAAAATATAAAAAGCTAATTATTTCCATTTATGTTCAGCTGAGCCTCGCAAGTGCTACACCAGGGGTAGGCAACCCTGGTCCTGGAGTGCTGTAGGCACTTCATGTTTTTCATTTCACCGACCTGGAAGATTAGGTGTGTTGAATTTAGGCGATCACTGAACTGATCAATTACCTCCGTTGGTATTGTGTAGTTCCTAGTTGGAACAAAATCCTGCAGTACCTGTGGCACTCCAGGAACAGGGTTGCCTACCCCAGTGCTACACCATATGATCTATTTTGTAATCAAAGCTCGAGTTTTGAAATATAATATGGTCTGAGAAGAACAATATTGGCAGGCTAGGCATATAGCCTAGCTTTTTCCACATTTTTTTACGTTACAGCCTTATTCTAAAATTGATTAAATGGTTTTTTTCTCATTCATCTACACACAATACCCCATAATGACAAAGCCAAAAAAAGTTTATTTGAGATTTTTGTACATATATAAAAAATAAATAAAATAAAAAATCACATTTACATAAGTATTCAGACCCTTTACTCAGTACATTGTTGAAGCAGCGATTACAGCCTTGAGTCTTCTTGGGTATGACGCTACAAGCTTGGCACACCTGTATTTGGAGAGTTTCTCCCATTCTTCTCTGCAGATCCTCTCAAGCTCTGTCATGTTGGATGGGGAGCGTTGGATTGGGTTCACTCAAGGACATTCAGAGACTTGTCCCGAAGCCACTCTGGAGCAGGTTTTCTAAAAGGATCTCTCTGTACTTTGCTCCGTTCATCTTTCCCACAATCCTGACTAGTCTCCCAGTCCCTGCCGCTGAAAAACATCCCCACAGCATGATGCTGCCACCACGCTTCACCGTAGGGATGGTGCCAGGTTTCTTCCAGAAATGACGCTTGGCATTCAGGCCAAAGAGTTCAATCTCGGTTTCATCAGACCAGAGAATCTTGTTTGCCTTTTAGCAAACTCCAAGCGGGCTGTCATGTGCCTTTTACTCAGGAGTGGCTTCCGTCTGGCCACTCTACCATAAAGGTCTGATTGGTGGAATGCTGCAGAGATGACTGTCCTTCTGGAAGGTTCTTCCATCTCCACAGAGGAACTTAGGAGCTCTGTCAGATTGACCATTGGGTTATTGGTCACCTCTCTGACCAAGGCCCTTCTCCCCCGATTGCTCAGTTTGGCCGGGCGGCCAGCTCTAGGAAGAGTCTTGGTGGTTCCAAACTTTTTCCATTTAAGAATAATGGAGGCCATTGTGTTCTTGGGGACCTTCAATGCTGCAGCATTTTTTGGTATCCTTCCCCAGATCTGTGCCTCGACACAATCCTGTCTCGGAGCTCTGCAGTCAATTCCTTCGACCTCATGGCTTGGTTTTTGCTCTGATATGCACTGTCAACTGTGGGACCTTGTATAGACAGGTGGGAGCCTTTCCAAATCATGTCCAATCAATTGAAGTTACCACAGGTGGACTCCAATCAAGTTGTAGAAACCTCTCAAGGATGATCAATGGAAATAGGATGCACCTGAGCTCAATCGTGGTCCTCTGTAGCTCAGCTGGTAGAGCACGGCGCTTGTAACGCCAAGGTAGTGGGTTCGATCCCCGGGACCACCCATACACAAAAATGTATGCACGCATGACTGTAAGTCGCTTTGGATAAAAGCGTCTGCTAAATGGCATATTATTATTATTATTATTATTTAATTTCGAGTCTCATAGTAAAGGGTTTGAATACCTTAGTAAATAAGGTATTTCTGTTCAAATTTTGTATGAATTTGTTAAAATTTCTAAATTTGTTTTCGCTTTGTCATTATGGGGTATTGTGTGTAGATTGATGAGGATTCTTTTTTTAATGTAATTTTAGAATAAGGCTGTAACGTAAAAAAAGGTGGAAAAAATACTTTCTGAATGCATTGTATATTAGGCCTACAGCACAAACCTCATTATTACAGAACTGTTTTTATTAGGTTAACGCTACGGTAGATCTCGGCTTGCTTTTTGACTACGAAAGTGACTCAGAAAAGGTTGGTGACCACTGGTATATGGAGTCTGGGATGATGGAGTTGATGTTTGATAAACACAGCCTTTCAAAGCACTTCATGATTACAGATGTGAGCGCTACAGTGTGGCAGGTAGCCTTAGAGTTCTTGGGAACAGGAATGATGGTGGTCAGCTTGAGACGTGGGGATTGAAGATTGAGACAAGGAGAGGTTGAAAATGACCGTGAATATGCCTGCCAGCTGTTCTGCACATGCTCTGAGAATGCACCCTGGAATACCGTCCGGCCCCGCAGTCTTATGAGTGTTGAACTAATTAAGAGATAACCCAGTCAGTGGCAGTGATATTGAATTGTTTGCGTTCAGTGTTACTTTTTTAATAAAGTAAATAGCCTAAAGTTAAGGCTATCTTACAAACTAATGTAACATACAACCTTTTTAAAATTAGTAACACATCCATGGCCACATTTTGTGGTTACTGTAACTTTACATTTCTTCCTATGTATTCATATAAAGTGTGCATGTTCAAGATAGCATGCATAGGTCTTTGCAGGTCTGTGGAGATCTTCACAATTGCTATAATAATCTGTGCACAATCTCAAACGGCATTGATCACTTACACCATGTACTTTTAATGTAATCTCAACTGCAATCCAGGTCATTTGGTTCTGCTATTAGATGAAGCACAGTGATAACATGAATCTGTTGTATAAATAGCTAAACAAAATATCTGACATTGTCTTCCCATTTGAACTTTGCTATGCTTTTAAAATGGTTGAAAGCGCAGTGATGGACATTTGGGTGACAACTAAACCAGTAATCAAGATTGGAATTTTGTTGTGCTTTTCAATGGTTGAAAGCATAGTGATAACACATTGGAAATTCAACTAACTATTGGCTGTCTTTTTGAGTGGGAGAATATAGATTGTAATCTCATTGATTGTCTCAACCAAATATTACCCAATTACCCACGTTGAAATGACGTGGTGTGCCCAGTGGGAAATTATTCACAAAATATGTTGTGCGTAAAGGCTCTCCAAACCTGTTTTTGATGAAGTAGGTAATCTACCAATTGGTGCTGAAATGGAGACGAATATGCATATACAGTATGCAAATATTTGTATGGCTTTCTGTCATTGATCCCTAATATTCTGAACCCGTTCACTCAATATATTATAATAAGTCTGTGGAGAAAAATCTAATTCAAGGTATACTGTATTTAAAGGGATGGCTTTACATACTGTAAATGTACTGAAAACCTTATTGAGAATCTGTTGGGAGGGTTTCCAAAGGTTGAATTACATTTTATTCAGTGCGTACAAGGAAGCTACACCTGCCTAAGGTATGTCTGTATACCAACTACTGGGAAGTGCTTCAATCAAAACACATAGGAAAGGCATACATTTCCTAAATCTGAATGGGGCCCGAAGTTATTTGAATAAAACCAAAGAATTATGAATAAACATTTGAAGTGAATAGTTTCTCCTTTTCGGTTTATTGAGAAGGCACTGAAAATAAGTTATATTTGTTATTTATTGAATTGGAATTTCACTTTACTTACTGAATTGACTGACTTCAATTCAAATTGACCCCAAAACTGGTGTTGTCGCCCAGGTGAGAGAGGAGCTTCGGGGATGATGGGGGTCCCAGGACACCCCGGTTCCACAGGAACATGTGGCCCCCCAGGACCCAAAGGAACCAAGGGACCGCAAGGAGATGCAGGTCAGTTCCTCGTGAATGTGACCATCACCAGCATAATTAACATTAATCATGAGTGATACAGATTGAAAATAATTATAAAGCAGTAGATCCAGCTTCAGTAGGGACGATGTCACTGAAACAGCCATATAAATAGAATTACTAGTATGGACATTCCTATTGCCTTGATCTGAGAGGCTTTCTCCCTTCTAGTAATTTTATTTCTATTGACACAGCAGCTTAACCCACATCCCCTTCTCTCTCTGGACCTTTGTTCTTTCCTCCACAGGTCCGAAAGGAGAAAAAGGGTATGTGATCAATCCATTGATAATCCCACCTCCTCCCGGACCCGTAGGCGGACCCGGTCAACCAGGCCTTCCTGGCTTCACTGGTGGCTCGGGACCCAATGGTTTTGAGGGACAGAAAGGTAGGGCCTGATATGGGTCAACGAAAGCCCCTGAAATATCTTGATATCTTCCTGGGTAGAGTGCTCCATGTCCTCTTACAATAAGAAGATTCGTTATTCTGTTTTCTCCCAAATTGCATTTATAAATACATGAAAACTATCATTCAGAATTGGTGGTTGTAGTTTCTCAGAAAGACCTTGAGGTCTTTGTGATAGTAGAAATTTAAATAAGAGGATTAGTTATTTGTTGAATATTATAAACTGGGTGGTTCGAACCCTGAATGCTGATTGGCTGACAGCCATGGTATATCAGACCGTATACCACGGGTATGACAAAACATGTATTTTTACTGCTCTAATTACGTTGGTAACCAGTTTATAATAGCAATAAGGCACCTCGGGGGTTTGTGGTATATGGCCACTCTGCGTTGCGCCTAAGAACAGCCCTTAGCCGTGGTATATTGGCCATGTACCACACCCCCTCGTGCCTTATTGCTTAAATATAGCATTCATACAGTAAATGCAACTTAAAGATAAGATACGATTTGATACTGTATGTGTCTGCTGTTGCAGGGAGAAGTGGCCAGATGGGGTCACCAGGATTCCCGGGGCCCGATGGCCTCCCAGGAGCAGACGGGGACCCAGGGGACAGCGGGGTACAGGGGGAGAGGGGGGCATTGGGACCACAGGGTGAGTCAAATGAACTAGGGCGTGTGGATGGACACTTCACACACCCCCACTACTCATGAACCTGTGTCCAACTAAACATCTAGCCTGCCCCTGTCCTAAATGACATCCTCTTCATGTCATTTTAGACACAGCCCATTTTGACCATAAAAGGGCAATCTGCAATTGTTACATCCATTTTTGGACTTACATATTTTTTACTGATTTATGCTAGGGCTCTCCAACCCTGTTCCTGGAGAGCTACCGTCCTGTAGGTTTTCACTCCAACCACAATTGTAACTAACCTGATTCAGCTTATCAACCAGCTAATTATTAGAATCAGGTGCACTAGATGAGGGTTGGAGTGAAAACCTACAGAATGGTAGCTCTCCAGGAACAGGGTTGGAGAGCCCTGATATATACCCAAATATAACATATAAATGCCTCATGAGCTTAGTTCAACTGTCGTACCCCATCAGAACCCAAAATATAAGGCCAGGATTCAATCAGATCTGCGGTAACCCGCGTTAGCCGACATAGCTTTTCATTTATTTTGTTTAGGCGGTGTCGGAGGTGTAATTCTGTTTAGAGCTGTCAAATCGGTGAGCGGCTGCGCTTGTGTTCATTGTCACGAAACCACACCTGTGCTTATGTTCCACCCGTGTTAGAAGATCAGAACGAGAAAGTGTAGACCATATAGAAATAATAAAATCATTAAACAGAATAATAGGTGTAGATTGCATGGGATTTCTACTAATGCGACTCTGTGGATACAATGGCAATATCCGTGATTTGACAGCAGTTACACCTCCGACACCGCCTAAACAAAAGCAATGAAAAGCTATGCGGATTTTTCAGCTAACGTGGGTTGCCACTGATCTGATTGAATGCCGGTCTAAGGACTCAACTGTCAAATCCATAAGCGGCTCCCGGCATTATACCTATCGTGGACATTGCTATTGGATGCACCAAGTCGCAATAGTAGAAATCCCATCCAGTTGTGTTACAAGTTCGAACACTGGAATGTGTGATGTAATCTACAGAAGAAAAGTGGTCAGAATAGCCCAGGTTAACATATGTAGCTTAATAAAAAAGGTTAATGAAATCAATAATTTGCTAGTAACAGATAACATTCATATTCTGACTATCTCTGAAACTCACTTAGATAATATATTTGATGATACAGTGGTAGCAATACAAGGTTATAACACCTTACCAATGGTGGAGGTGTTGCTGTTTATATTCAGAACCACATTCCTGTGAAGATTAGAGAGGATCTCATGGTAAATATTGTTGAAGTAATATGGCTACAGGTTCATCTGCCTCCCCTAAAGCCCATTCTGGTGGCAAGCTACTATAGGCCACCAAGGGCTAACAGTCAGTATTTAGATAACATGTGGGAAATGCTTGATAATGTATGTGATATCAATATAGAGGTATACTTTCTGGGTGATTTAAATATTGACTGGCTTTCATCAGGCTGCCCACTCAAGAGAAAGCTTCAAACTGTAACCAGTGCCTGCAACCTGGTTCAGGTTAACAGTCAACCTACCAGGTTGTTACAAACACTACGGAATGAAATCATCAACATGTATTGATCATATCTTTACTAATGCTGCAGAGATTTGTTTGAAAGCAGTGTCCAAATCCGTTGGATGTAGTGATCACAATATAGTAGCCATATCTAGGAAAACCAAAGTTCCAAAGGCTGGGCCTAATATTGTGTATAAGAGGTTATACAATACGTTTTGTAGTGATTCCTATGTTGTTGATGTAAAGAATATACAGTTGAAGTCGGAAGTTTACATACACCTTAGCCAAATACATTTAAACTCAGTTTTTCACAATTCCTGACATTTAATCAAATTAAATATTCCCTGTCTTGGGTCAGTTAGGATCACAACATTATTTTAAGAATGTGAAATGTCAGAATAATAGTATAGAGAATGATTTATTTCAGCTTTTATTTATTTCATCACATTCCCAGTGGGTCAGAAGTTTACATACACTCAATTAGTATTTTGTAGCATTGCCTTTAAATTGTTTAACTTGGGTCAAAGTTTTCGGGTAGCCTTCCACAAGCTTCCCACAATAAGTTGGGTGAATTTTGACCCATTCCTCCCGACAGAGCTGGTGTAACTGAGTCAGGTTTGTAGGCCTCCTTGCTCGCACACGCTTTTTCAGTTCTGCCCGCACATTTTCTATAGGATTGAGGTCAGGACTTTGTGATGGCCACTCCAATACCTTGACTTCGTTGTCCTTAAGCCATTTTGCCACAATTCCTTCCTCATGATGCCATCTATTTTGTGAAGTGCACCAGTCCCTCCTGCAGCAAAGCACCCCCACAGCATGATGCTGCCACCCCTGTGCTTCACGGTTAGGATGGTGTACTTCAGCTTTCAAGCATCCCCCTTTTTCCTCCAAACATAATGATGGTCATTATGGCCAAACAGTTCTATTTTTGTTTCATCAGACCAGAGGACATCTCTCCAAAAGTACGATCTTTGTCCCCATGTGCAGTTGCAAACCGTAGTCTGGCTTTTTTAAATGGTGGTTTTGGAGCAGTGGCTTCTTCCTTGCTGAGCGGCCTTTCAGGTTATGTCAATATAGGACTTGTTTTACTGTGGATATAGATACTTTTGTACCTGTTTCCTCCAGCATCTTCACAAGGTCCTTTGCAGATGAACGCGGTACCTTCAGGCGTTTGGAAATTGCTCCCAATGATGAACCAGACTTGTGGAGGTCTACACATTTATTTCTGAGGTCTTGGCTGATTTATTTTGATTTTCCCATGATGTCGAGTTTGAAGGTAGGCCTTGAAATACATCCACAGTTACACCTCCAATTGACTCAAATTATGTCAATTAGCCTATCAGAAGCTTCTTAAGCCATGATATAATTCTCTGGAATTTTCTAAGCTGTTTAAAGGCACAGTCAACTAAGTGTATGTAAACTGCTGACCCACTGGAATTGTGATACAGTGAATTATAAGTGAAATAATCTGTCTGTAAACAATTGTTGGAAAAATTACTTGTGTCATGCACAAAGTACATGTCCTAACTGACTTGCCAAAACTATAGTTTGTTAACAAGACATTTGTGGAGTGGTTGAAAAACGAGTTTTAATGACTCCAACCTAAGTGTATGTAAACTTCCGACTTCAACTGTATTGTCACGCCCTGACTCATGGGACTCTTGTATATTGAGTCAGGGTGTGGATATGCTATGTTGTATTTTCTATGTTGGCATTCTATGTTGTGTGTTTCTATGTTTGGCCGGGTGTGATTCCCAATCAGAGGCAGCTGTCGCTCGTTGTCTCTGATTGGGGATCATACTTAGGCAGCCTATTGGCAATCCTAGTTGTGGGATCTTGTTCCGTGTGGAGGCTTGTTTTGTGTTTAGCCTTAGGACTTCACGTTTTGTTGGTTTGTTGTTTTGTTAGTGTGTTTATCGTTGTAATAAACATGTACGCATTTCACGCTGCGCCTTGGTCTGACCCGTCCTTCAACGACCGGGACAGAAGATCCCACCAAACACGGACCAAGCAGCGTGCCCAGGAGCAGACAGCCTGGACATGGGAGGAGATCCTGGACAGAAAGGGATCCTGGACATGGGAGGAGATTCAGGCTGGGATGGTCGCCGTCCTTGGGAGGAGACAGTGGAGGCCCGGTTTAGAGAGGAGCAAAGGCAACGCAGAAGGCACCGGCCAAGGAAGAAGCCCGAGACAGCCCCAAAAAAGGTTAAAAGGTTGGTCGGGGATCGGGGGCTCAGGGAGGAGTCCTCATGGGAGGAGGACTAGGCGCGGAGAGTGAAAGACTGGTACAGTCGGAGATCTCTAACGTCAGTTCCCAGTCCGGTACACCTCGTGCCTGCGTCTCGCACCAAGCCAGTGGTGCGTGTCCCCAGTCCGGTACGGCCCGTGTCTGCTCCCTGCAGCAAGCCAGTGGTGCGTGTCGCCAGTCCGGCCCGGCCCGTTCCTGTTCCTTGCACCAAGCCAGTGGTGCATGTCGCCAGTCCGGCCCGGCCCGTGCCTGCTCCTCGCACCAGACCAGTGGTGCGTGTGTCCAGTCCGGCACGGCCCGTGCCCGTTTCACCGGTGCCTGGTCCGGCACCGGTCAGCTGCTCCACTCCGGAGCCAGAGCAGTCCGCTCCACCGGGCTCCAGTCCAGCTCCGGTCAGCGGCTCCACTCCCGAGCCAGAGCAGTCCGCTCCACCGATGCCCAGTCCAGCTCCGATCAGCGGCTCCAGTCCGGAGCCGGAGCAGTCCGCTCCACCGGTGCCCAGTCCAGCTCCGGTCAGCGGCTCCAGTCCAGACCCAGACGTCAGCCCCTCTCCAGGTTCGGGGTCTCCCACACCAGGGTCCAGACAGGGCTTGGTACTTCGTGGGAGGAAGGAGAGGGGAAGCAGCGTGCCGAGGTCCAGTCCAGACCAGGGGCGCAACAGGGAGGATGAGAGAATGTGATCGTCACGCCCAGAGCCGAATCCGCCTCCAAGGCAGAATGCCCACCCGGACCCTTCCCTGTCATGTCAGGTTGGTGCGGTCGTAGTCCGCACCTTTGGGGGGGGGGGGGGTACTGTCACGCCCTGACTCATGGGACTCTTGTATGTTGAGTCAGGGTGTGGATATTCTATGTTGAATTTTCGATGTTGGCATTCTATGTTGTGTGTTTCTATGTTTGGCCGGGTGTGATTCCCAATCAGAGGCAGCTGTCGCTCGTTGTCTCTGATTGGGGATCATACTTAGGCAGCCCATTGGCAATCGCTAGTTGTGGGATCTTGTTCCGTGTGGAGGCTTGTTTTGTGTTTACCCTTAGGACTTCACGTTTCGTTGGTTTGTTGTTTTGTTAGTGTGTTTATCGTTGTAATAAACATGTACGCATTTCACGCTGCGCCTTGGTCTGACCCGTCCTTAAACGAACATGACATGTATGTTGGTCCTTGGTGTGTAATGAGAAGCAAACAGAAACTGCACTTGACACATTTATGAAATTGCTTATTCCAGTTACTAATAAGCATGCACCCATTAAGAAAATGACTGTAAAAACGGTTAAATCCCCGTGGATTGATGAGGAATTGAAAAATTGGTTGTATGGTTGAAAGGGATGAGGCAAAAGGAATGGCAAATAAGTCTGGCAAACGCACTGCAAATTGAGAAATCATGTGACTAACCTGAATAAAAAGAAGAAGAAACTACACTATGAAACAAAGATAAATGACAAAGAATGATAGCAAGAAGCTTTGGAGCACCTTAAATGAAATGTTGGGAAAAAAGGCATACTCAGCTCCATCATTCATTGAATCAGATGGCTCATTTATCACAAAATCAACTAATGTTGCCAACTACTTTAATGATTTTTTTCATTGGAAAGATTAGCAAACTTAGGCTTGACATGCCAGCAACAATTTCTGACACTACACATCCAAGTATATCTGACCAAATAATGAAAGACAAGCGTTGAATTCCGTAAAGTGAGTGTGGAAAAGGTGAAAAAAGTATTGTCTATCAACAATGAAAAGCCACCGGGGTCTGACAACTTGGATAGAAAATTACTTAGGATAATAGTGGACGATATTGCCACTCCTTTATTTGCCATATTTTCAATTTAAGCCTGCTAGAATGTGTGTGTGCCCCTAGGCTTGGAGGGAAGAAAAAGTCATTCCGCTACCTAAGAATAGTAAAGTTCCCTTTACTGGCTCAAATAGCTGACCAATTAGCCTGTTACCAACCCTTAGTAAATTATTGGAAAAAATTGTGTTTGACCAGATACAATGTTATTTTACAGTAAACAAAATGACAACAAACTTTCAGCATGCTTATAGAGAAGGACATTCAACAAGCAAAGCACTTACACAAATGACTGATGATTGGCTGAGAGAAATTTATGTTTTTTTAGACTTCAGTGCGACTTTTGACATTATCGATCATAGTCTGCTGCTGGAAAAACGTACACTACCGTTCAAAAGTTTGGGGTCACTTAGAAATGTCCTTGTTTTCGAAAGAAACACATTTTTTTTGTCTATTAAAATAACATCAAATTGATCAGAACTACAGTGTAGACATTGTTAATGTTGTAAATGGCTAATGTAGTTGGAAATGGCTGATTTTAAATGGAATATCTACATAGGCGTACAGAGGCCCATTATCAGCAACCATCAGTCCTGTGTTCCAATGGCACGTTGTGTTTGCTAATCCAAGTTTATCATTTTAAAAGGCTAATTGATCATTAGAAAACACTTTTGCAATAATGTTAGCACAGCTGAAAACTGTTGTGCTGATTTAAATAATTAATACAACTGGCCTTCTTGAGACTAGTTGAGTATCTGGAGCATCAGCAATTGTGGGTTCGATTACAGGCTCAAAATGGCCAGAAACAAATAACTTTCTTCTGAAACTCGTCAGTCTATTCTTGTTCTGAGAAATTAAGGCTATTCCATGCGAGAAATAGCCAAAAAACTGAAGATCTCGTACAACAATGTGTACTAGCCATATGTCAGACTGCCCATCTTAATCTTTTCTTTTTATTGCCCAGTCTGAGATATGGCTTACGCTGATTTTAAATCCTTATTATTTAGTTATATTTTCAATTTGAGTGTAATCATTTTTATATAGCTTACTATTTCTGAATTTCGTGACAATGACCACATGAGCAGCTCTGCTCACCGATTTGACAGCAGTTACACCTCCGATACCACCTAAACAAAAGCAATGATAAACTATGCGCTTGTCGGTTAACGTGGGTTACGGCTGTTTTACTTCATTGTTTGTAAATTCATTTAATTGATAGTTTTAATCACATTCTTCTAAAAAAGCACAAAACATATTCACTATTATGCTCACTTCAAGAATAGCTACAGTGGGGAGAACAAGTATTTGATACACTGACGATTTTGCAGGTTTTCCTACTTACAAAGCATGTAGAGGTCTGTAATTTGTATCATAGGTACAATTCAACTGTGAGAGACGGAATCTAAAACAAAAATCCAGAAAATCACATTGTATGATTTTCAAGTAATTAATTTGCATTTTATTGCATGACATAAGTATTTGATCACCTACCAACCAGTAAGAATTCCGGCTCTCACAGACCTGTTCGTTTTTCTTTAAGAAGCCCTCCTGTTCTCCACTCATTACCTGTATTAACTGCACCTGTTTGAACTCATTACCTGTATAAAAGACACCTGTCCACACACTCAATCAAACAGACTCCAACCTCTCCACAATGGCCAAGATCAGAGAGCTGTGTAAGGACATCAGGGATAAAATTGTAGACCTGCACAAGGCTGGGATGGGCTACAGGACAATAGGCAAGCAGCTTGGTGTGAAGGCAACAACTGTTGGCGCAATTATAAGGAAATGGAAGAAGTTCAAGATGACGGTCAATCACCCTCGGTCTGGGGCTCCATGCAAGATCTCACCTCGTGGGGCATCAACGATCATGAGGAAGGTGAGGGATCAGCCCAGAACTACACGGCAGGACCTGGTCAATGACCTGAAGAGAGCTGGGACCACAGTCTCAAAGAAAACCATTAGTAACACACTACGCCGTCATGGATTCAATTCCTGCAGCGCACGCAAGGTCCCCCTGCTCAAGCCAGCGCATGTCCAGGCCCGTCTGAAGTTTGCCAATGACCATCTGGATGATCCAGAGGAGGAATGGGAGAAGGTCATGTGGTCTGATGAGACAAAAATAGAGCTTTTTGGTCTAAACTCCACTCGCCGTGTTTGGAGGAAGAAGAAGGATGAGAACAACCCCAAGAACACCATCCCAACCGTGAAGCATGGAGGTGGAAACATCATTCTTTGGGGATGCTTTTCTGCCAAGGGGACAGGACTACTGCACCGTATTGAGGGGAGGATGGATGGGGCCATGTATCGTGAGATCTTGGCCAAAAACCTCCTTCCCTCATTAAGAGCATTGAAGATGGGTCGTGGCTGGGTCTTCCAGCATGACAACGACCCGAAACACACAGCCAGGGCAACTAAGGAGTGGCGCCGTAAGAAGCATCTCAAGGTCCTGGAGTGGCCTAGCCAGTCTCCAGACCTGAACCCAATAGAAAATCTTTGGAGGGAGCTGAAAGTCCGTATTGCCCAGCGACAGCCCCGAAACCTGAAGGATCTGGAGAAGGTCTGTATGGAGGAGTGGGCCAAAGTCCCTGCTGCAGTGTGTGCAAACCTGGTCAAGACCTACAGGGAACGTCTGATCTCTGTAATTGCAAACAAAGGTTTCTGTACCAAATATTAACTTCTGCTTTTCTGATGTATCAAATACTTATGTCATGCAATAAAATGCAAATTAATTACTTAAAAATCATACAATGTGATTTTCTGGATTTTTGTTTTAGATTCGGTCTCTCACAGTTGAAGTGTACCTATGATAAAAATTACAGACCTCTACATGCTTTGTAAGTAGGAAAACCTGCAAAATCGGCAGTGTATCAAATACTTGTTCTCCCCACTGTAAATATATTTGTATCTTTGTCTCTGACTGTCTGTCATCGTAGGCGTCCCAGGCCCTTCGGGAGATGCCGGCAGCCCAGGCCCCACCACCACCTTTAACTCTGGCTTCCTGTTGGTGATGCACAGCCAATCAGACACGCTCCCTTCCTGTCCAGCAGACATGACACAACTGTGGACTGGTTATAGTCTGCTTTACCTGGAGGGCCAAGAGAAAGCCCACACACAGGACCTCGGTACGTTGGTCTACAATACTGTTTGTGTGTGTGCTCATCTGTACACCTGTGTGTATGTGTGTGTGTGTTTGAATGATTGTAACCGGTAACCTAGCATGTCTTTTTCTCCTACTAGGTCAGGCCGGGTCATGTATGCGTCTCTTCAGCACCATGCCTTTCTCCTACTGTAACATGGGCACGTGTGACTACGCCAGCCGCAATGACAAGTCCTACTGGCTGTCCACCACAGCGGCAGTGCCCATGATGCCCGTGGCGGGCCAGGACATCCAACAGCACATCAGCCGCTGCGTGGTGTGTGAGGCCCCCTCCCCTGCTGTGGCAGTTCACAGCCAGGACAACAGCAACCCCTTCTGTCCCCCCAATTGGAGGAGTCTGTGGGTGGGATACTCCTTCCTCATGGTGAGTTTGTGTGTGTGTGTGTGTTTGCTTGTCTGTGTTTGCCTGCATGTTTGTGTCTGTGTGTGAGTGTTTTGTTATAACAGTTGTAACACACGTGTGTGTATTGTAGCACACAGGGGCCGGTGATGAGGGTGGTGGCCAGTCTCTGACATCATCAGGAAGCTGCCTGAGGGACTTCCGTGCCCAGCCGTTCGTGGAATGCCAGGGCCCGCGGGGAACGTGCCACTATTTCGCCAACATCTACAGCTTCTGGTTGACCCGGGTGGACGCCGATGGACCGCTTAGCCCCTCAACTTCACAGGGCACGCTCAAAGAGGAGTGGCAACAGCGCCTCAACGTAGGCCGGTGCAACGTGTGTATGAAGGAGTGAGGCCACCCTTCTTCTGGGCCCGGCCACAAGCACCGGCGCCAAAATCTCCGACCCACCGCATCCCACGAGTGTATTGAAAATGCACACTCATTGGTTACCTGAGAGGCAGTAATGACACTCCCCATTAGTCACCAGAGAGGCTGTGACTACACTGGTTGTTTACCTGAAAGTCTGTGAATAATATTTACATTGACACGCGCTCTCTCTTAACTTGTTTTATGCAAGTTCATACCAATGAACATACAGTACTTGATCAACTATCCTTTGGATTTTTTTCAGCTGAATTATTTTCAGTTCTAGCTTTTTAGATTAGTAACTTTTTTCTCCTGAAATCTGTAACTTGGCTCAAAGCTCTTAATTTGTGTATTATGTTTCCAGGTTTGAGTACCTAATATCACGGGGCAGATTATCTTTCGCTCCAGACTCCCAAGTCAACAACAGAGTGGCTTCAAGCATCAGTATGGCTCATCAGACACTCAGCTTCAGAAAACTAATGTCCTCAATTAGGCAATTAATTGTTACTCTGTTTTTACGTACAACAGTGGTCCTCACACTCTTGGAAGCTGGGACCCTCCCAAAGCCTATGACATTTTCTTGTCATCCACCAAAGCCACAGTTGTGTTTATTAGGGCTTGCAACAGAAAACATTTTAAAGTAGAACGTTCCGTTTTCTTCTCTTTGGTGCCTAATGAACACGACTCAGTTAGGCCTTGATTCAATCAGATCAAGCGCTAACCCGCATTGGTAGACATCCCCATAGCGGATGTTTTGCCGGTGTAACTGCAGTATGAGCTGACAAGTCTTGTGTGTCACAACCCAATTCCTTCCTTATTATCCCTGCCGCATTAGAAGTTCAAACTGGCTAAAGTTCATTTGGATGGGGGTATTTAACCTCTCAATCTAATTGAGGTGTAGACCATAGTACGTCACGCATTCAAGTATTTGAACTAACACGGCTGCATGAATTTCTAACGCAACTGCATGGGATTTGTCGGATTATAAATTTGGGTGGTTTCATTGCATCAAATGGCACTGTCTGCGATAAGCTAATGCAAGAAGCCGCTTGTGGATTTGACAGCTTTAACTCAGTTCAGTCACAGCCAAAACAATCGCTATGCCGGTGTCCGCTGGCGCGGAGGGATCTAACAACCAAAATGAGTTATACTGACAACCTGTTAAACTGCTTTTTTAACAGACCCTATCAAAATAATGTATCCAAGCCAAAAAGGTCTGTGCACTGTTCACCAAAGCGTAATGTGTAAACATTGTTACAACCCCATTTTTTTATCCACTTGAAGGAGAAATGAGGGGGAACACTTGAAGAATCCCATACAGATATACTGTTTGACACAGATCTGACGCTGGTGCTTTTGTTTGTTACTTACAGTAGGCTATGTGACTATCTGTAATTTTGTTATTTTGACAGTGTTGAAAGATGGTTGTATGTCTTGTTATATAGATTCTTAAGCAGACATTAAGATACAATTCGATTTTAATTATAAATGTAGAAGATAAAATATACACCATCTTAATGTCCTTCTATTTTGATATTTTATAGTACCTTGGTATCATGTCCACATCATCTGAAACACTAGCACAATACCACCTTCTTTGTAGGCTATGGACTGCAACATGTCACAGTTATCTCCCCCTCTCCTTCCCTTTGGTAGACAGCACACACTTCTATGGGTCCAGCAAGACTGTCCATTACCACTGAACCTTATTATTGTCCATCTTTATTATAAGTGCCTGTCACTCACCTGTCTGTACCACCCCCTACCGCAGTTTGTTGATAGATGGTTTATTGCTGTCTGTAGTTCACCTACTGTGTTCACCTCAAGCATGCAATTCACTCACTTAGCCATTCTCTTATACCTGAATACGCATTAATACCTTATCCAATGAATTGTTTTATTTAATTTTCTGTTGTTTAGAACTGTATAGTGCTAAAAGCAGTATAGTATCTACTTCATTATCTGTATAACTTGTTGAACCATGCTTTAGTTTAGATGGTACACGTTTATAGAAACAAGGGGTCTGTTCCTTCAGTTCAGTTCAGTCCTCTCATTATTGGGCCTCCTCGTCATTTAATTGGGCTTCCTATAACTTGGTCTTTATAAAGAACTCTGTAAAATAACTTAAGACCCAAACATTGGTTGTCGAGGTAACGGCACCAGTCGTTAAAATGACTTCACCATTTTTAAAAGCACTGGTCTTTTCTTGCACACTGCAGGATTCCTTACACCGATCTACTACGTCATGTCTGAACATTCAGCCTCTTGAGTCTTGACTTCAACACACTACCCAAACTAACACAAGTAATTAAGCCTTGCTAACACACACACAGACAAACACACTCAGTATTCAGTACACTTCATATTAATGTGTATAACAGTGTGTAAGGCTGGAATTTGCAACAGTCTTTAAATGTTTCCCTGTACGTCTTGGCATTATTTTCTGTTGTATGTAAATATGTTTGCACTGTCGAAAGAACAGGTTTGCTTTATATTTTTACTGTAAATGTCAAGAGTATTTATTTAGGTAGGAATCATTGTGGTGCTATTTTTGAAAAAATGGTGAATGCATGGTATTTCTCCAAAAAATAAGAATATTATGTTGTCAAATGTTATGACTCAGGCCACAATGTCAGGAAGTACAGTTGAAGTCAGAAGTTTACATACACTTAGGTTGGAGTCATTAAAACTCGTTTTTCAACCACTCCACAAATTCCTTGTTAACAAACTATAGTTTTGGCAAGTCGGTTAGGACATCTACTTTGTGCATGACACAAGTAATTTTTCAAACAATTGTTTACAGACTGATTATTTCACATCATTCACTATCACAATTCCAGTGGGTCAGAAGTTTACATACACTAAGTTATTGAAGCAACATATCAAGACATCAGTCAGGAAGTTAAAGCTTGGTCGCAAATGGGTCTTCCAAATGGACAATGACCCCAAGCAAACTTCCAAAGTTGTGGCAAAATGGCTTAAGGACAACAAAGTCAAGGTATTGGAGTGGCCATCACAAAGCCCTGACCTCAATCCTATAGAAAATGTGTGGGCAGAACTGAAAAAGTGTGTGCGAGCAAAGAGGCCTACAAACCTGACTCAATTACACCAGCTCTGTCAGGAGGAATGGGCCAAAATTCACCCAACTTATTGTGGGAAGCTTGTGGAAGGCTACCCGAAACGTTTGACCCAAGTTAAACAATTTAAAGGCAATGCTACCAAATACTAATTGAGTGTATGTAAACTTCTGACCCACTGGGAATGTGATGAAAGAAATAAAAGCTGAAATAAATCATTCTCTCTACTATTATTATGACATTTCACATTCTTAAATTAAAATGGTGATCCTAACTGACCTAAAGCAGTGAATTTTTACTAGGATTAAATGTCAGGAATTGTGAAAAACTGAGTTTAAATGTATTTGGCTGAGGTGTACGTAAACTTCCGACTTCAACTGTATTTGTAGGCTGTGGATGAGAGAAAAACATTTGGAAAACCAAGAAGCATAGGGTCACATAACTGTGTTAAGGAGCGCTCGCAGGTATCATCGTTTCACAGATTGACAATCTTACCCTGCGAGGCCCGGTGTGGGGATTTCTGTTCCAGTCAAGCAGTAACACACCTGATTCAAGTAATCATATCAAGACTTCAATCAAGACTTTGACAAGTTGAATCAGGAGTGTTGCTGCTGGGGTGGAACAAAAACCTGTACCCCCCCCCCCCCCGACTCTCGCAGTGTGAGATTGCCCACCCCTGGTTTAGATCAACTCTGTTTTATCTCACGATCGTTATGGTGATGAGAAAGGGTAACATGCCTTGGGATAGTTTTTTCTTCTACCATACATCTCAACATTCTCAATTTCTCGGTGCAAACATACCCTTGCTGTCTGGTTAAATTTGGACTCGAAGGTAATTTTTAGGTCAATGAGAAGATTGTGGTCACCCGAGTGTCTCTTTTTTAACTGTAATGTTTCCAAAGATAACCAATGTCAGAGGGCAACAGAACATAACTATTGTTAAAGGCCCCATATAAACAGGACTAGAGAGCTTTGCAGTGGAAGCCACACTCAGGAGGATGTAACGTCACAGAAAAGTGATTGTCTGCCAGATTGAATAGGGAGTCGTTTCAAATCCATTCATTCTATTTCTATCTGCAACATTCGAAATGTTTCACATCACGCTTCCCCTGAGTCATTCCATGTGATTAACATAATGAGGCCCTCCTCTGTCCCAATAGGAGCGTTGTGGGTGTAAATGTGTAGATGAGAAAACACTGACAGTATATGACCAGTCTGTCAGAAGTGGCTCTGAGTTGTTAACTGATTGACTGACTGACTTTGGTTCTGGAAAGGGAGGGAGTGTTCTTCTCCAAACCCCTCCCCTCTCTCAATGTGTGGTTACTCCTGTAACGTTAGAGGCATGTCAGAGGTTAAACATGGTAACTCTTCAACATTACTGACACACACACACACACAGAGGCTGAGCCACCCCCAAGACAATCCTCTTCTTAAAACATTTGGTATGATTTCTGTCAGCACACTTAATCCTTATAGGATAACCGTTTCACTAACACACATATTCCTATAAGCAACCAGTAGTCTTAAAAGCATTATATGTGGACTGTTTAAAGGTAAAATAAATGCATCTAATGTCCAAGTGTCATGTCTGTGTGATTGTCTGGCCTGATGCCAGTGTTTAGGTCATTGTAAATGGTTATTGGAGTATTATAAGCTTCATACTAGCTCAAATGTAGTCTTTAATGTACTGAACTAAGGGGGAAAATGCAATGTTTATAACACAATGTATATATTTAATATAAACGTTCCAAAAAATATATCGTATAACAAACAAGATTATTTTAAGAAATACATCACATTAGAAGTTAATTCTCAGATTCCCTCTAGAGCAAAATGTAACAAAATGTAAGACTTAGTTCCCAGATCTCTAAAATTATAAAATTGCTGTTTCATATTTGCCAAGAGACAGAGTATATTTGGTAATCCTATTATTACATTCAAATACTACAGGGCTTAAAATCTTCATTGATAGTTGAAAATAATGAAATAGTATCCCAATACATACGGTAAGAGATCAATGGCACGTTAACCGTGGGGGATAGACAGCACAAGGATGCAGTCACTGGCACCCATTCAATAAAGCTGATACTACAAAGTGAATGTCAAATCCGTCATCATTTATGTGTTCTACCAGGCTGACAGTGTGGTTACTAAAATGCGATTTGGATATATTTGGCTGTTTCCGCTGCATAATATTTATACTTTTTCTAATATTCATATTTAATATTTTTATTTATAAAATGACAAATGAAAATACACTCCCCAACAACTAATAGCATTGGAGCGCGAGGCTAAACTTCTCTGCTCTTTTGGTCCCGTGGCTCCCACATTGTAAGAGTGTTAAGCGAACCTGTGCACATGCGCAGATACTGTGTGTGACTGCGTGAAAGCGAAGTCTTGCATCTTGCTCATCGCAATATCTGCGGTACTGCTCGTGCAACGTCATTTCACTGATTCTACTTTTAACAGTGGACTGATGGACAAAATACTAGACTTTTTCAGTGTAGTATTCCTTGAGGAAAGTGATATTTTATTCTCCAATGAACCAATAGTCCAGCTTGGTCAGTCAGTGGTCAGTCTAAGTGGTCAATCCTCTGGAGCCGCCGCCTCCTGATCTCCTCTGCTGTCAGTTCTCCTGGGATGTTGAAACCATACGAGGTTGGTCTTCTCTGAGTGGAGCCCCCTAAGGGACATAAGAAGAAATATTTATTTTCTGAATTATAATGATTGACACATGTAGGTGTTGTGACTGAGGCTGTAGGCTTGGATCGGGATGCGGGCACTCATATAGATTAGTTATTTGACCCAACATTTAGATTAAATGGAGGACTTCAAAAATCTTCAATCAAATCAAAACAGATTCAAGCACTTCCAATTAACTCTATTTACCAGCACAATTAACTCTGTTGTACCAAGGCTTCCCACATCAAAACAAGCTGAAATTAACTACTTACTTTCATCCGCTTGCTCTGCCCTCATATTTAGCCTCACATTGAAGTGTATAAAAAAAAATATTCAGGACAACCAGGGCTACAAGTACAACACAAACCCATTTGACAAAAAAATGCATTCATGAATTTTATTGACAAATGTCAAATCCTAAAATAAATTCTGCCAAGCAAAAACCTGATAAAAAAAGTATTTATAAGAATGCTGTAAGTACAGAAATGGTTTGCTTAGTGGGAAATTAATATCCAACTAGTCAGTGATAACTGTGTGGAGTTTGGAGTTTTTGACAGCAACTCTGTGAGCTTATTATAGTATTATAAATGTGTGTTTCTTATTTGACAAGTCCAGGTAGTCCCCGTCTTCTTCCGTTTGTTGCCTACTGCTTAATGAACACAACCCAGGCCTGTGTTGTCTCACCTCTGCCATTGAGACTGGCTCTGATGGCTGCCTCGTACTGCTCCTCCTCTGATAGACCTCCAGTGTAAGGGTGACCATTCTGGGGGTGCGTATGAGGTCCTCCACTACTGCCACTGTATCCTACAGAATCCCCACCCACCCACACACAAACGCGCACACACACACACACACTACGATTACCAAATATATCAGGCTCTTGGTAAGTATGAGACCATTTTTATTTTAGAGAGCTTGGAACTATACTGAACAAAAATATAAACGCAACATGCAACAATTTCAGAGATTTTACAGAGTTGAAGTTCATATGAGGAAATCAGTCAATTGAAATAAATTAATTAGGCCCTAATCTATGGATTTCACATGACTGGGAATACAGATATGCATCTGTTTGGCACAGATAGCGTAAAGAAAAATGGGCCTCAGGATCTCGTCACTGTATGTTTGTGCATTCAAATTGCCATCGATAAAATGCTATTGTGTTTGTTGTCCATAGCTTATTCCAGCCCATACCATCACCCCACCTCCACCATGGGGCACTCTGTTCACAACGTTGACATCAGCTAACTGCTCGCCCACACGATGGCATACATGTGATCTGCGGTTGTGAGGCCAGTTGGACGTACTGCCAAATTCTCTAAAACGACGTTGGAGGTGGCTTATGTTAAAGAAATGAACATTCACTTCTCTAGCAACAGCTCTGGTGGACATTCCTGCAGTCAGCATGCCAATTGCACGCATCTCAAAACTTGAGACATCTGTGGCAAGATGGCGCTGACAGACATGGCAGCAACTTTGCTGTATATATTTTTTTGTGTGTGTTATACATTTTTACAAGCATTTCGCTACACCCACAATAACATCTGCTAAAAATGTTTATGTGATCAATAAAAATGTGATTTGATTTGTGTGACAAAACTGCAAGTTTTAGAGTGGCCTTTTATTGTCCCCCAACACAAGGTGCACCAGTGTAATGATCACGCTGTTTGATATACCACACCTGTCAGGTGGATGGATTATCTTGGTAAAGGTGAAATTTTCACTAACAGGGATGTAAACAAATTTGTGCACATAATTTGAGAGAAATAAGCTTTTTGTGCGTATGAAAAATGTCTGGTATCTTTTATTTCAGCTCATGAAACACGGGACCAACACTTTACATGTTGCGTTTATATTTTTGTTCAGAGTATATTGCACACACAAACAAAATAATCCATAGACTCTTTGCCCGTTGTGGAAGCGAGACATCAATAAATCAAGGTGCAAAATGAGTACTCATCCACGTAGCTACATACCTGAAGAGTTATAATATGGATTTTGTCTGGCATGGTATCCATTTGTCACAAATCCTGTTGGGAGAGGAGACACCTGATCATTTAATTTGTCTAATCATGATTGTAATGTTATACTGTGGTTGAACACATAACATGATGCATTTAACCTGACATTTCTATGAAAAACTCTGCAGCTTGGAACCAACACCACATGCACGTCTTGTTTAAAGAAGGACAAAAACCACTGTGGTTTGGACAGGCAAGAAAAATCAAAAGAGAAACACATACACGCACACACAGACACAGACTAAGGGCAACTTTTCAACGATGCTGTTGTAGCCTATGTGAAATGGCTAGCTAGTTAGCATTGACGTCACCCTGCTCTGAAACATCTGAACCTTGCTTCGCAAGGGCCGCAGCTTTTGTGAAGGGACGGGTAACAATGCTTTGTGGATGACAGTTGTCGATGTTCAGAGGGTCCCTGGTTCGAGCTCAGGATGGGGCAAGGAGAGGCATAGAAGCAACACTGTTACAATGCTTAAGAGAGTATCCTAAGATATGGCATCATAGTCTGATTTGGAAATGTATCTCAAATTGCCCGCTTGACACAAACTGCCATGAAGGTCATGGGTGTGAGGCAGCATTTGTCCCTGCAGACCATTTTTGAACAAGCCATTATCAGGCAAGCCCAGAATTTTTTTTCAGACCACTCCCATGTACTCCACTCTGAGTATCAGCTCCTCCCCTAAGGCAGATGCTATAGGGTTCCCCTACGTGTAAACTGAACAGGAATAAGCACACCTTCATTTCCATGTCTATCAAATACCTAAACAGCTATAAGTACTGGGTAACTCTTCGTTAGTAAATGGGTGGAATTTTGAAAAAATAATCTCAATGGAATAATGTAGGTCTGGAAATTACTTTAAATGTGTTAATGGTGAATAAACCTGTTTATTTCAAACTGATGTTCAAATTCAAGTTTATTGACATTCATATTTATTCTTACTTTGCGAGAGCTAAAAAGACAAGAATACATTACAACATATAGACTATTTTAGGTAAATATAAAAGTTGGTATATAAGCAACAACAACACCCTCATTCATAGGCAGATTATATTATGGATTGTCACTGATAATTGTGACTTGTTTCAGGAAACTAGGCATATGTCACTACTTAGGCATATGTCACTACTTCACAGGATTGTATTTATATTTTTTGGGAGAAATGCCTTCTGGAACATGTGAAATTTCATGTGCCTTAATAACAAACGTGTATGCCATATGTAAATATGAATAAAAACGTTAAATTACGAGCCTAGTTGGTTTAGCCACGGAAAAAGACAGGAACCTTCCTGCTAGCCATGATTGGCTGAGATAATGGATGGGCTGGACATCCCGAGAGCTGAGTTTGGATTGGTCGATTGTAGCGCGCTTCTGTCTATAATGAGCTGCTCACTATGTGTAGGTTATCCTTTCTAACGCAGATTTTTGATTGCAGAGCATGATTGCAAATGCGGAGGGAGTCGAAAAGAGAACACTGTTGTATAAAACACGTCTCCAGATTACATCTTCAAACTAAGGGCAACCATGGTATCTGTGACAGAGAGGGAGAAGCGTTCATCCATGTATACAGGTAAGAGAGTCTAGCTAGCTACATTTTCAGATATTATACGTTTAAAATTGTCCGAAATTGTCATTTTAATGGCAAATTAAAGCGTACCGTTAGCTAGCTAGCTAACGTTAGCTGGCTGGCTCGCTAGCTAACGTTACGTGTATGATCTGTGTAGTAATATTACTTGTATCTCAGAGCCATTTGCATTGCTAGTTATAGCAATCTCAGAGCCCTTTGCATTGCTAGTTATAGCCTAATGTTAGCTAGCTAGCTAACATTTAACCTAGCTAGTTGGTTAGCATTTAGCTACCTGTAGATTCATGCAGGGTAGTAACGTTATGAGTTGGGACTATGGTTAATCGTTTAGCTAGCTTGCTAAGATGTAAATAATGATCTTGTTGTGAGTTTATTTTCCTGTAATAATGAATGACAACCTTATACAGACATGTCGATAGATGTAGTATAAACCAGCCTTTAGTCTTTAGCACATGGCCTCACATGTGAATCCTTAAAGAGATGGGTGGGGCTTAAGAGGGATTGAACGATGCTGAATGGGTGTAGACAAAGAAGAGCTCTCCAGAACGTGTACCAAAACATTCAAGGGTCATTTTCTCAAAAGTGGGGTTACAAGTTTATCAACCTTCAAAGCAGAATGACTTTCTCACTGTTCCTCAACTGTAGTGTATGACATACAATTTTATAGCTCTACTTTTATCCATTGTAAAAAAACAATATTTAAAATTTTGCTACATAAGACCGAATCGAGCTGGTCGGTCACAATTGTCCCCATTTTAATCTAGTCTCTTAGCTGCTTGATAAAGTCATTCAAAGTAATATATACACTTTATGTGGAAATGCTCATATGCATACTCTCCTCCACACCTCTCCTTGACACTCCCATTTTATGCTCCACCTACACAGGTCCAAAGTTTTACAGGATCCGTGCAGACACAAATGCAGGTGAGACAAAAAGACAGAACTCGTCATTGCACAGGTTTTTTAACTCGTTGCGCATGTTTTAGCGAGAGGAAAATGTTGCCCACAGACATTTTACATTTTAGTCATTTAGCAGACGCTCTTATCCAGAGCGACTTACATGAGCAATTAGGGTTAAGTGCCTTGCTCAAGGGCACGTCGACAGATTTTTCACCTAGTCGGCTCGGGGATTAGAACCAGCGACCTTTCGGTTCCTGGCACAACGCTCTTAACCACTAAGCTACAAACCTGCAATTGAGCTCATGATGATCTTCAGAGGACCAGCGGTGTAGAGAAGCCCCACCAGGATGCCTGCCAGGTGTCCCACAAAGGAGGTCCTGCACAGAGGAACGTGTTATGAGTTACATGACACACACGACTCCGTAATTAAACATATGCACAGCACACTACTTTAGGGAAACAAGATCTGTTCTGTCAAGACGAGCGCTGTTATTACACCACCATACGCACACTTCTCACATCACGGACACTGTATAAACACACACTTATCAGGCATTACAGACCCGCTAGTGAGGTTGTGAACTCTCAACAATCCTAGGGGACAGTGGGTTAAATTGGCAATTTTTTTACATTCAGAATCACTCTGCCAAGGGAAATATAGTATTCTTTCTAACAAAGATATCTACATACAGAGCGTTTTCGGAAAGTATTCAGACCCATTGACTTTGTTCACATTTTTTACATTACAGCCTTATTCTAAAACGGATTTTAAAAAACATTTCCTCATCAATCTACACACAATACCCCATAATGACAAAGTGAAAACAGGTTTTTAGAAATGTTAAGAAATGTTTAGAAATAAACATAAATATCATATTTACATAAGTATTCAGACCCTTTTCTATGAGACTCGAAATTGAGCTCCTGTTTTCATTGATCATCCTTGAGACGTTTCAACAACTTGATTGGAGTCTACCTGTGGTAAATTCAATTGATTGGACATGAGTTGGAAAGGCACATACCTGTCTATATAAGGTCCCACAGTTGACAGTGCATGTCAGAGCAAAAACCAAGCCATGGGTCGAAGGAGTTGTCCTTGGGGCTCAGAGACAGGATTGCGTCTGGGGAAGGGTACCAAAAAATGTCTGCAGCATTGAAGATCCCCAAGAACACAGTGGCCTCCATCATTCTTAAATGGAAGAAGTTTGGAACCAACAAGACTCTTCCTAGAGCTGGCCGCCCGGCCAAACAGAGCAATCGAGGGACAAAGGCCTTGGTCAGGGAGGAGACCAAGAACCCGATGGTCCCTCTGACAGAGCTCCAGAGTTCCTCTGTGGAGATGGAGAACCTTCCAGAAGGACAGCCCTCTCTACAGCACTCTACTAATCAGGCCTTTATGGTAGAGTGGCCAGGCAGAAGTAAAAAGGCACATGACAGCACGCTTGGAGTTTGCCAAAAGGCACCTAAAGACTCTCAGACCATGAGAAACAAGATTATTTGGTCAAATGAAACCAAGATTTAACTCTTTGGCCTGAATGCCAAGCGTGACGTCTGGAGGAAACCTGGCACCATCCCTACGATGAAGCATGGTGGTGGCAGCATCATGCTGTGGGGATGTTTTTCAGCGGAAGGGATTGGGAGACTAGTCAGGATCGAGGGAAAGATGAACGGAGCAAAGTACAGAGAGATCCTTGACGAAAACCTGCTCCAGAGCGCTCAGGACCTCAGACTGGGGCGAAGGTTCACCTTCCAACAGGACAACGACCCTGAGCACACAGCCAAGACAACGCAGGAGTGGCTCAGCCAGAGCCCGGACTTGAACCCTATAGAACATCTCTGGAGAGACCGGAAATAGCTGTGCAGCGACACTCCCCATCCAACCTGACAGAGCTTGAGAGGATCTGCAGAGAAGAATGGGAGAAACTCCCCAAATACAGGGGTGCCAAGCTTGTAGCGTTATACACAAGAAGACACAAGGCTGTAATCGCTGCCAAAGGTGCTTCAAGAAAGTACTGAGTAAAGGGTCTGAATACTTGTTATACTGTACTTCAAGATGTTATGGATTCCCTATAAATAAAATCGGAATTAACGCAAATATTACATACAGTGCCTTGCAAAAGTATTCATCCCCCTTGGCGTTTTCCTATTTTGTTGCATTACAACCTGTAATTTAAATTGATTTTTACATACACAAAATAGTCCAAATTGGTGAAGTGAAATGAAAAAAATAACTTGTTTCAAAAAATTAAACGGAAAAGTGGTGCGTGCATATGTATTCACCCCCCTTGCTATAAAGCCCCTAAATAAGATCTGGTGCAACCAATTATCTTCAGAAGTCACATAATTAGTTGAATAAAGTCCACCTGTGTGCAATCTAAGTTTAACATGATCAGTCACGTGATCTCAGTATATATACACCTTTTTTGAAAGGCCCCAGAATCTGCAACACCACTAAGCAAGGGGCACCACCAAGCAAGCAGCACCATGAAGACCAATGAGCTCTCCAAAAAGGTCAGGGACAAAGTTGTGGAGAAGTACAGATCAGGGTTGGGTTATAAAAAAATATCTGAAACTTTGAACATCCCACAGAGCACCATTAAATCCATTATTAAAAAATTGAAAGAAAAAAATGGCACCACAACAAACCTGCCAAGAGAGGGCCGCCCTCCAAAACTCACGGACCAGGCAAGGAGGGCAATAATCAGAGAGGCAACAAAGAGACCAAAGATAACCCTGAAGGAGCTGCAAAGCTCCACAGTGGAGATTGGAGTATATGTCCATAGGACCACTTTAAGCCATACACTCCACAGAGCTGGGATTTACGGAAGAGTGGCCAGAAAAAAGCCATTGCTTAAAGAAAAAAATAAGAAAAAACGTTTGGTGTTCGCCAAAAGGCATGTGGGAGACTCCCCAAACACATGGAAGAAGGTACTCTGGTCAGATTTTTTGGCCATCAAGGAAAACGCTATGTCTAGCGCAAACCCAACACCTCTCACCACAGTGAAGCATGGTGGTGGCAGCATCATGCTGTGGGGATGTTTTTCATTGGCAGGGAATGGGAAACTGGTCAGAATTGAAGGAATGATGGATGGCGCTAAATACAGGGAAATTCTTGAGGGAAACCTGTTTCAGTCTTCCAGAGATTTGAGACTGGGATGGAGGTTCACCTTCCAGCAGGACAATGACCCTAAACATACTGCTAAAGCAACACTTGAGTAGTTTAAGGGGAAATATTTAAATGTCTTGGAATGGCCTAGTCAAAGCCCAGACCTCAATCCAATTGAGAATCTGTGGTATGACTTAAAGATTGCTGTACACCAGCGGAACCCATCCAACTTGAAGGAGCTGGAGTAGTTTTGCCTTGAAGAATGGGCAAACATCCCAGTGGCTAGATGTGCCAAGCTTATAGAGACATACCCCAAGAGACTTGCAACTGTAATTGCTGCAAAAGGTGGCTCCACAAATTATTGACTTTGGGGGGGGGGTGAATAGTTATCCACGCTCAAGTTACGTTTATTTGTCTTATTTCTTGTTTGTTTCACAATAAAAAATATTTTGCATCTTCAAAGTGGTAGGCAAGATGTGTAAATCAAATGATACAAACCCCCAAAAAATTAATTTTAATTCCAGGTTGTAAGGCAACAAAATAGGAAAAATGCCTAAAGCACTTATATTACATATAAAACAAAAGATAAAACAGTACATCATATAACATTATTACACCACTACATATCTACAATACAAAATGTTTAATACCACCATACAACAATATCACAATGTGTGCATATGCATGTCTCTGTACATTTGTGTGCGTCTCTTCACAGTCCCCGTTGTTCCATTAGGTGTATTTTTACCAGTTTTTTTTTATTTTTAATCTGATTCTTGCATCAGTTACCTGATGTGGAATAGAGTTCCATGTAGTACTGTGCGCCTCCCAAAGTTTGTTCTGGACTTGGGGACTGTGAAGAGACCTTTGGTGGCATGTCTTGTGGGGTATGCATGGGTGTCCGAGCTGTGTGCTAGTAGTTTAAACAGACAGCTCGGTACATTCAGCTTGTCAACACTTCTTACAAAAACAAGTAGTGATGAAGTCAATCTATCTTCCACTTTGAGCCATGAGAGATTGACATGCATGTCATTAATGTTAGCTTTCTGTGTACTTTTAAGGGCTAGCCGTGCTGCCCTGTTCTGAGCCAACTGTAATTTTCCCAAGTCCCTCTTTGTGGCACCTGACCACTTGACTGAACAGTAGTCTAGGTGCGACATAACTAGGGCCTGTAGGACCTGCCTTGTTGATAGTGTTGTTAAGAAGACAGAGCAGCGCTTTATTATGGACAAACTTCTCCCCATCTTAGCTAATGTTGTATCAATATGTTTTGACCATGACAGTTTACAATCCAGGGTTACTCCACCTCACCTCAACTTGCTCAATTTACACATTATTCCTTACGAGATGTAGTTGAGGTTTAGCGTTTAGTTAATTATTTATCCCAAATACAATGCTTTTAGTTTTAGTTATGTCTGTAAGCTTTCATTTAGAACTATTTGACACAGCCCTCTATTTGGATGATAAGAGACTGTCTAGTGAACTTACGATGAACCCTGGGTCATGTTAATTAGGGCACACAATGGTAAAAAAAAAAAAAAAGTTTTTGCATTTCTTATTGGAAACTTGTGAGAGCTGGGCTGGGGGAAAAGTCTGTAGACATAGACCATGTGTTTACTGTGCAACTGACTACTCCTGCGACAAAGAACAACTCACCCCGGGGACATTACATGAATCAGCACCAGCTCGACCCAGCTGGCGTAGCGATTGGCCACTGGGACGCCCATCACATAGGAGACACCTCCCGGGTGGTAGTGGTTACTCAGCACTTTCAGAGCGAAAAGCACTCCTACAACACAGGACAGACAGTTCAGTCTCACCATGCCACTCACAGCACAGCATGATTGGGGCCAATTCAGTTTTCAATTCAGGAAGCAAATTCACAGAGTTGAAACCCTTTTTACTGACCAACAGAGGCCCATTCACATTTAGGCTAGGTCTATAACTAGGACCTCGGGTTTTCCTGGTCAAAAAACTCCCGTGACCCAAACTATTGTGAGGATGGACAGAAACCTCCCTCAGCAGCATAACAACAAACACACTGACACTGTAGCTAGCTAGTACCTGAGAAGCCGACTGCACACTGTATGTTGTAAGAGGGGTCCTGGGTGATCTCCGAGAGCCCCATCTCCAGAAGCAGATAAATCACGCCCGTCAGCAGGGAGAAAACAGCCAGAAGGCAGGCGTAGAAGCTGCTGCCCAGCCGGGGCTCCAGCTTGACGCCCTTCCACAGGAAGGATGCCATGTTGTAGTACAGGTGCCACTCGTCTAGGTGGTGCAGCGGCGACAGCACGAGTCGGCGCCAGTCCCCACCCCAGTAGGCCTGCTGGACGCTGATGCAGGCCTGGAGGATGGGTAAGGTGGGCACCAGAAAGAGGTAGACGTTAAGGCACAACACAGCCAGCGTCACAGGGGGAATGTTCTCCACCCCCACCTGGAAGACCTGGGAGGCCAGGAGGATTAGGCCCAGCTGACCTCCCCCCCTCTGTCGGGAACGCATCCTCCTCACTCAACTGCGGTAGCTCAGCCTGGAGTGAAACACAAACAAATATGTACAATTAAATACAAAACCATACAACTTTCTTTGTCCATTGTGAAACAGAAATTTGTCATTTTTTGCATTCTTATGGGGATTTTTAAACAGCCCCATCTTCCACGCACAGACAATACCACAAACACCCACACCCAGAGAGCAAGACAAGGGCACCCACATGAAAAAAATACTATAGATGGGTTAGCTGACAACGTCACGGAAACTATGTGGATGCTTCAACGGGGCAAAAGTATGTGTGATTGTTGGGATTCTGGATGGCCAGACAACTAGCAACAATGACAAGAAAGCTGCCATCTGGGGATTCATAAGTGGCTCCTTTCAGATAGTTATATATTGTTCTTGATACATAATATATACAAAAGTATGTGGACACCCCTTCAAATTAGTGGATTCGGCTATTTCAGCCACACCCGTTGCTGACAGGTGTATAAAATCGAGCACACAGCCATGCAATCTTCATAGACAAACATTGGCAGTATAATGGCCTTACTGAAGAGCTCAATGACTTTCAACGTGGCACCGTCACAGGATGCCACCTTTCCAACAAGTCAGTTCGTCAAATTTCGTCTAGGAGCAACAACGGCTCAGCCGCAAAGTGGTAGGCCACACAAACTCACAGAACGGGACTGCCGAGTGCTGAAGCACGTAGCGCGTGAAAATCGTCTGTCCTCAGTTGCAACACTCACTACCGAGTTCCACACTGCCTCTGGATGCAACGTCAGCACAATTACTGTTCGTCGGGAGCTAAATGAAATGGGTTTCCATGGCCGAGCAGCCGCACACAAGCCTAAGATTACCATGCGCAATGCCAAGTGTCGGCTGGAGTGGTGTAAAGCTCGCTGCCATTGGACTCTGGAGCAGTGGAAACACGTTCTATGGAGTGATGAATCACACTTCACCATCTGGCAGTCTGACAGACGAATCTGGGTTTGGCGGATGCCAGGAGAACACTACCTGCCTGAATGCATAATGCCAACTGTAAATTTTGGTGGAGGAGGAACAATGGTCTAGGGCTTTTTTTCATGGTTCGGGCTAGGCCACTTCGTTCCAGTGAAGGGAAATCTTAACGCTACAGCATACATTGACATTCTAGACGATTCTGTGCTTCCAACTTTGTGGCAACAGTTTGTGGAAGGCCCTTTCCTGTTTCAGCATGACAATGCCCCCTGTAAACAAAGCGAGGTCCGTACAAAAATGGTTTGTCGAGATCGGTGTGGAAGAACTTGACTAGCCTGTACAGAGCCCTGACCTCAACCCCATCGAACACCTTTGGGATGAATTGGAATGCCTACTGCAAGCCAGGCATAATCACCCAACATCAGTGCCCGACCTCACTAATGGTCGTGGCTGAATGGAAGCAAGTCCCCGCAGCAATGTTCCAACATCTAGTGGAAAGCCTTCCCAGAAGAGTGTAGGCTGTTATAGCAGCAAAGGGGGACCAACTCCATATTAATGCCCATGATTTTGGAATGAGATGTTCGACGACCAGATGTCCACATACTTTTGGTCATGTAGTGTACCATGTCTTGTTTTGATGGGTTTTGACTGATGTCACGTCTATACTAATAAGGCATACATTTGCTAGCTAGCTAACCAACAACTGTAACAATGTATTTGAGAGAAAACAAGTATTCATTGTGCAACTTTAATTATGTTTTCTATAAACATTGGAGATGAAATATAGTTTACATGTTGTCAACACTCTAAACCAACCCAGCCTGTTTTGCCCCATTGTTGCGCACGTGTCGGTTTTGTTGCTAAACAACCAACCTGTCTATGGTATAAATACTATATTATTCACTGTAGTTTTTTTCAGACTTAACTGTAGTATTAACAGGACAAAAGTCTGCAAAAACACTACAGTGAATACTGTAGTATTTACTGTAGAGTTGCGGACATGACCGTAGTATACAGTGGTATTTATTGTTTACTATAGTATAAATACTGTAGTAAAAAACTGGAGTATATACTATAGTAATTAATGTAGTGTTTCTGCGGTCTGTAGTATACGGTTGTATTTACTGTAGTGTTTTTGCAGACTGTTGTATTTACTGTAGTGTTTTTACAGACATTACTGTAGTATTTATGATAGTGCTTTTGTTTGATTATCTTTGACATTGCAGTGGGGGCTTTCTCCTTGAGGAAACCTACTCGACAAAATACTCAAAGAGCACATTTTCCATAACCAGTAGGTAGCTAGGACTGAGGTCTGCACAGATAGCTCAGAGGTTCTGCTTTCTGTAACCTGTAGGGAACACAATATATAGTATATACTTGGCATGTAGGCTTCTCAGTTATGGGTGGCACAAATTAGGGTATGAAGGAGTGGAATGGGCAGGTTATATGCAAACTAAATACTGTATTGTAAATACCAGTGGCGTAGGCATTGGTGAGCCAGGCCCACCCAATCTGATTGAGAAAAACAAAAAAATTATACATTATTACAAAAATACTCCTCAGCAAAAGCATCACTTTCCTCCTTAACTAACTATAACGGCAGAAAAAAACGAGGTAAATATGCATATGTTCTTTGTAAAACACAATTTTCACCATGATGCTAGAGTGGCTAATGCCTAGGAATGCTAGTTACTTTCTGATGATACACAAAATCTGATATTTTTACACCTTTTCCACTAAAGCTACAATTTGTAACTTTTTGGTTGACCTAAACGAGGTAAATATGCATATGTTCTTTGTAAAACACAATTTTCACCATGATGCTAGAGTGGCTAATGCCTAGGAATGCTAGTTACTTTCTGATGATACACAAAATCTGATATTTTTACACCTTTTCCACTAAAGCTACAATTTGTAACTTTTTGGTTGACCTGCCAAAATTCAGTTATAGATCTGTCATTCTTATTGAAACCAAGTCTAAGAAGCGAAAGATCTGTTCTATTTTACATTTACATTTGAGTCATTTAGCAGAAGCTCTTATCCAGAGCGACTTACAGTAATGAGTGCATACATTTTCATGCTACTGTATGTGCACTATTTTTATGCTTCCCGTTTATAAGTGTATTATTTGCGTCTTTTACTTTCGGTTTTGTACACCAGTTTCAAACAGCTGAAAATACAATATTTTTGGTTATGGAAAATATATTTCACAGCGGTTTACACGGTACAATGTTTCTCTACATTATATTTGCTTGTTTTGTCACATAAACTGAAATTAGGCAATTTCTGCAACATGCATCTTTAAGGAGGAAAACGATGCCTTTACATCCTGAATGGAGGATGCTTTATGTAGGAGCCGGTCCACTGGTAGACATGAGTGTATGTATTACATGGAATGCACATCGAGCTTACGACGATAGTGCAGATCTAGCGCCAATGCACTATCTGCTTCCTAGGCTAAGATTAGGCCTACATTCCTCCTTAAGACTGTCAGAAAGCAGAGCAATAAACCCAGAACACATTTCAAAATGTAAAGAATATAGCTAGTTAGCTAACTAGCTTTCACACTGGAGCGAACAAAAAACAGACCTTGACATACAATCTCAAATAACAGACACATTTGGTTATTGCTGACTGGGCTGGACGGTTGATTTTGCCCTAAAGTTGTAACTTACTTCCTGGTACCGCGCTGACAGAAGGTCTTTGATTATACCGCTGGTATTGTTGGTCTCTTCGTCTTCTGGCCGACAAAACACTTATTAAAGATCACTAAGGGATACTGGGTTTTACTTACAGTTAAGCATACACGGTAAACCTTTCATGAAATGTCATCATATCGCTGTAGTCGTCAGATTAATAGACTTGACCATGTGATCATAACAGGGTCGTATGGTGCACACCGTACAAACCGTAATAAAACTATTTGCAACGGAAAACGTTTTGCAACGAAAACAAGCATTTCTTATTGGACCAGTTCAGGTTAGTCCCTCCCCGTTTGCTTCCCTCTGATTTTTAGTGAATACACCCCCCTTATCTGTTGAAACGTTCAGGGGTATTACCATATCAAACCACAATATTGCAGTGTGATACAGCAGCGTCAAACAACTGGTTCAGACAACATTGTAATAGCACGCCACACACGCAATCACTTTTTTCCCATTATTTTCTATCTCTTTATGTGGTTCACTTTCCTGTCAAAATAAAGGTTAATTCATATTTTTTTATGTACTGAAGAAAATGTTTTTTTTTAAAATTGTAAGTTGTGTATGCATTGTTTTTTGTATCATCACCTTATGTGTTCGTTCAATAAAAGTATACAAATATATATACAGTGCCTTCGGAAAGTATACAGACCACTTTACTTTTTACACATTTTGTTATGTTACAGTCTTATTCTAAAATTGATTAAATATTTTAAAAATCTCAGCAATCTACACACAATACCCCATAATGACAAAGCGAAAACAGTTTTTTTTTTTTTTTTGCACATTTATTAAAAATAAAAAACAGAAATAACATATTTACATATGTATTCAGACCCTTTGCTATGAGACTCAAAATTGAGCTCAGGTGCATCCTGTTTCCATTGATCATCCTTGAGATGTTTCTTCAACTTGACTGGAGTCCACCTGTGGTAAATTTAATTAAATGGACATGATTTGGAAAGGCACACACCTGTCTATATAACGTCCTACAGTTGACAGTGCATGTCAGAGCAAAAACCAAGCCATGGGTCGAAATAATTGTCTGTAGAGCTCCAAAACAGGATTGTGTCGAGGCACAGATCTGGGGAAGGGTACCAAAACATTTCTGCAGCACTGAAGGTCCCCAAGAACACAATGGCCTCCATTATTCTTAATTGGAAGACGTTTGGAACCACCTAGACTCTTCCTAGAGCTGGCCGCCCAGCCAAACTGAGCAATCGGGGGAGAAGGGACTTGGTCATGGAGGTGACCAAGAACCCAATGGTCACTCTGACAGAGCTCCAGAGTTCCTCTGTGGAGATGGGAGAACCTTCCAGAAGGACAACCATCTCTGCAGCACTCCACGCCTTTGTGGTAGAGTGGGCAGATGGAAGCCACTGGAGTTCGCTAAAAGGCACCTAAAGACTTTCAGACCATGAGAAACAAGATTCTGTGGTGTTATGAAACCAAGATTGAAATTTTTGGCCTGAATGCCAAGCGTCACATCTGGAGGAAACCTGGCACCATCCCTACGGTGAAGCATAGTGGTGGCAGCATCATGCTGTGGGGATGTTTTTCAGCAGCAGGGAGACTAGTCAGGGTCGAGGGAAAGATGAACAGAGCAAAGTACAGAGAGATCTTTGATGAAAACCTGCTCCAGAGCGCTCAGGACCTCAGACTGGGGCGAAGGTTCACCTTCCAACAGGACAACGACCCTAAGCACACAGCCAAGACATCGCAGGAGTGGCTTCGGGACAAGTCTCTGAATGTCCTTGAGTGGCCCAGCCAGAGCCCGGACTTGAATCCGATCTAACATCTCTGGCGAGACCTGAAAATAGCTGTGCAGCGACACTCCCCATCTAATCTGACAGAGCTTGAGAGGATCTGCAGAGAAGAATGGGAGAAACTCCCCAAATACAGGTGTGCCAAGCTTGTAGCGTCATACCCAAGACGACTTGAGGCTGTAATCGCTGCCAAAGGTGCTTTAACAGAGTACTGAGTAAAGGGTCTGAATACTTATTGTCACGCTCGTTGATGAACGGGACGGACCAAAACGCAGCATGAAATGCCTCCATGTTTATTGAACTTAATAAACATACAAAAACAACAAAACGTGATGTCGGAAGGCTATACACACAAGCCACACTAACCGAACACAAACAAAAACCCACAACACAGGCAGGAAAACTGGCTGCCTAAGTATGATCCCCAATCAGAGACAACGAGCGACAGCTGCCTCTGATTGGGAACCACACCCGGCCAAACATAGAAATACAAACATAGATATTCACACCCTGACCAAACTAGCTAGAGTTATATAGGCCAGGGCGTGACAGTACCCCCCCCCCCCCCCCCCCAAAGGTGCGGACTCCGGCCGCACAAACTTGACTGAATAGGGGAGGGTCCGGGTGGGCCTCCAGCCTCGGTGGCGGCTCCTGCTCCGGAGTGGAGCCGCTGACCGGTGCCGATCCAGGCACCGGTGGAATGGGCACGGGCCGTGCCGGACTGGCAACGCGCACCACTGGCTTGGTACGAGGAGCAGGAACAGGCCGGGCCGGACTGGCGACGCGCACCACTGGCTTGGTGCGAGGAGCAGGAACAGACCGGGCCGGACTGGCGACGGGCACCACTGGCTTGGTGCGGGGAGCAGGAACAGGCCGGGCCATACTGGGAACACGCACCACTGGCTTGGCGCGGGGAGCAGGAACAGGCCGGGCCAAACTAGGGACACGCACCACTGGCTTGGTGCAGAGAGCAGGTACGGGGCGTACCGGACTGGGAACCGGCGCTGGAGGTCTATGACTGTCTCCATCCTTTACACTCCGCGCCCCGTCCTCCTCCAGTGAGGACTCCTCTTTGAGCCCCCACGAGTGCAGTGGTCGGGGCTCCTCTCTGTCGCTCCCCGACCACCCTTTTAGCCCCCTTCAAAAAAAAATATTGGGGCTGTCTCTCCTTCTCCACCCTAATCCCTTTCAGGGCCTCCATCTTCCTTGCCAGATCCTCTCTCATCTCCCGCCAGGTCCATCCTCTCTGCTCCTCCTGGGCACGCTGCTTGGTCCATTGGTGGTGGGGTTTTCTGTCACGCTCGTTGATGAACGGGACGGACCAAAACGCAGCGTGAAATGCCTCCATGTTTATTGAACTTAATAAACATACAAAAACAACAAAAAGTGACGTCGGAAGGCTATACACACAAGCCACACTAACCAAACAAAAACAAAAACCCACAACACAGGCAGGAAAACTGGCTGCCTAAGTATGATCCCCAATCAGAGACAACGAGCGACAGCTGCCTCTGATTGGGAACCACACCCGGCCAAACATAGAAATACAAACATAGATATTCACACCCTGACCAAACTAGCTAGAGTTATATAGGCCAGGGCGTGACACTTATGTAAATGTTATATTTCTTTTTTATATTTTTCATAAATTTGCAAACATTTCTAATAACCTGTTTTTGCTTAGTCAATTTGGGGTGTTGTGTGTAGATTGATGAAAAAAAAAAACATTTTAATCTATTTTATTACAAGGCTGTAACATAACAAAATGTGGAAACCTCCAGGGGTATGAATACTTTCCGAATGCACTGTAGCTAGTGTGTGTAGAAACAACCTCACCATAACCCCTCCTACCTACATGTTCTTCATTGTTCTTCATTGTCAGCTTAATTGTTCTTGTTATTTTTGGTCTTCTTCTTCTACCTGACCCTAAGCTCGAACCATCTGGTTGCTCTCTGCTTTTCATCCTTCCCTTCTCTATGTCTCAGTTTGTCTTTCTCCTATTCATCTATGTATCTGACTCTCATGGTGTGTGTGTCTATGTGTGTGTGTTTGTGTGCGTATGTGTATGCCTGCATGCATTTGAAAGAGAGAGCATTAGTGTGCATGTACAAGTGAGTGCATGTGTGTGTGTCTGAGTACGGCCATTGGGCACAGCAACTAGTATGCCTCGCTCCAACAGTGTCTGTCTGTCTGTCAGTCTTGCTGTCTGTCTGACTGTTTGCACACTCTTGGCATTCTCTCAACCAGCTTCATGAGGTAGTCACCTGGAATGCATTTCAATTAACAGGTGTGTCTTGTTAAAAGTTAATTTGTGGAATTTCTTTCCTTCTTAATATGTTTGAGCCAATCCGTTGAGCTGTGACAAGCTGGGGGGGTTACAGAAAATAGCCCTATTTGGTAAAGACCAAGTCCATATTATGGCCAGAACAGCTCAAATAAGCAAAGAGAAATGAAAGTCTTACTTTAAGACACAAAGGTCAGTCAATATGGAACATTTCAAGAACTTTGAAAGTTTCTTCAAGTGCAGTCTCAAAAACCATCAATCGCTATGATGAAACTGGCTCTCATGAGGACCGCCACAGGAATGGAAGACCCGAATTACCTCTGCTGCAGAGGATAAGTTCATTAGAGTTATCAGCCTCAGAAATTGCAGCCCAAATAAATGCTTCACAGTGTTCAAGTAACAGACCCATCTCAACATCAACTGTTCAGAGGAGACTGTGTGAATCAGGCCTTCATGGTCGAATTGCTGCAAATAAACCACTACTAAAGGACACCAATAAGAAGAAGAGAACTGCTTGGGCCAAGAAACACGAGCAATGGACATTAGACCGGTGGAAATTTGTCCTTTGGTCTGGAGTCCAAATTTGAGATTTTTGGTTCCAACCGCCGTGTCTTTGTGAGATGCGGTGTGGGTGAACGGATGATCTCCGCATGTGTAGTTCCCACTGTAAAGCATGGAGGAGGAGGTGTTCTGGTTTGGGGATGCTTTGCTGGTGACACTGTCTGTGATTTATTGAGAATTCAAGGCACACTTAACCAGCATGGCTACCACAGCATCTGGTTTGGGCTTAGTGGGACTATCATTGATTTTTCTACAGGACAATGACCCAACACACCTCCAGGCTGTGTAAGGGCTATTTTACCAAGAAGCAGAGTGATGGAGTGCTGCTTCAGATGACCTGGCCTCCACAATCCCCCGACATCAACCCAATTGAGATGGTTTGGGATGAGTCGGACGACAGAGTGAAGGAAAAGCAGCCAACAAGTGGTCAGCATGTGGGAACTTCAAAACTGTTGGAAAAGCATTGCAGGTGAAGCTGGTTGAGAGAATGACAAGAGTGTGCAAAGCTGTCATCAAGGCAAAGGGTGGCTATTTGAAGAATCTCAAATCTCAAATATATTTTGATTTGTTTAACACTTTTTTGGTTGCTACATGATTCCATATGTG